GGGAGGAGCGCCAAAGGATACGGCTGGTACGCTCCTTGTAGAGGGCCCAGCACTTTCCATTGGCAGCTCAACTGGCTGCGGAGTGCCACAGACTGCCCGCGCTACTGCCTGAAGTAGCCCCCCCTGGCTGCCGCCATGAGAAGAATTGGATCGAGGCAGAGGCAACGGAACTCCACCCCTTGAAACGGAGCTTGGCCCGCGACTCCGAGATGATCATCTTCCCGCAATGAGAAGATGACTCATCCACAAACGCCACCTCAGCGTGCTACATGCCCAGGCACGCGAGGCAGTGATCGTGACCATCACCCAATGCCAGGTAACGACCGCATCCAGAAACGCCCGGGTGATACATTGTCTATAGCAAGACCCACATAGTCTTTACAAAGACGTAACATCAAGTTTGCCACGCAACGTCGTCTTTAAAAAGACGCACCCGAAATTGCTCTTTTAGGGAAAAAGCTCTTTTATCGTGCTGAGGCGCACAGAGGAGATGATCACCTGCAATACAAACAGGGGGTAGTGCAGCCTGATGTGTGCAACCCACTTGACACGGGAAACCACCACCGCTGAAGCGCCGTACCGCCAACACGAAGAGCTCTCCAAGAGCGTGCTGAACTCATTCAGTCTTCTTCTCTCAGTAGAGTAGTCAGGAGCAGAACGATGTGATCGCTCGGCTCCGAAGCGAAAAGCTGAATATGCGCTGCATCTGCTGCCTACTTATACTCACTCTGTGATCAGTGGCAGCTGGATGCAATAATCGCATGCCAATGTGCATTGGCTCGTTTAGTTTACACTCTAAGTAGATTGGTCTCTCCAAGCGAGATCCCAATTCATCAGTCATCCGACGTGACATCGAGAGTGACCGACTGAAATGTTGTTTTTACGCAACATTAGTCCAGTCACTTTTTTAATTAAATTTAAAAAGTTAAATTTAGTTTTATTAAACTAAATAACAGTTATGTGTTTAATGCCAACATTATGAGACTTCAGTGTTTCTGCTTTGGACATAATATTGTAAATGAAGCATTCTATTGTAAAGATGTCAAAGTATGAGTTGACCTTCACATATGTATGAGTGACCCAAACTGTTCTGTTCCTTGTAATTTTATTTTAATATAGATGTGAATGAATGTGTTGAGATATCAGACGTCTGTGGTCCAAACTCAATCTGCAACAACACTGTTGGGAGTTACAATTGCTCGTGCATGAGTGGATATAATGTAACAGACCCAAACCTCCCTATAAACAATGATAACCCATGCAAAGGTATGAAGCAATGAACAGTTTCTTACTATTTTTCTGCGTGAATCACCCTTTAATTGTAACCTTTCAATTTATTAAATGAATTTTTTTTTCAGATATTCATGAATGTCTTGACTCAGAATCAGTGTGTGGCCCTAACTCTCACTGTTACAATTACAATGGAAGCTTCTCATGCTTTTGTTGGGGTGGATATAATGTCTCAGATGGAAATAAAGCTATTAGTAAAGGCAACCCATGCACTGGTCAGTTTTTTTTATAAGATATTCTGCATTACAGTTTGCAAGTCATTTTCAACTTTTGGTCATTGCATAATTTCGTCATTAATCATTACTCATTAATCATTACTTTGGTGATTTTTAAAGATTCTCATTACAAATATAAAATTTCAGGATCCAGATTATTATTATCATTATTACTATTATTGTAAATGTTGACATTTCAACTTAATTTATATACTCCTTGTATGGATGTATTTCATAACTTTAAGTAATTATTTTTTCAAATATTTTTTTTCGTAGATATTGATGAATGTTTGTTCAGTCCATCTGTATGTGGTCCAAATGCCAACTGCACAAATGAAATGGGAAGTTATAATTGCTCATGTCTGGATGGATTCACTGCAACAAACTCAAATCTCCCCATCACAATCGATAACACATGTAGAGGTACATTTTATATTTAGATTTGTGTTTACTCTAACTTTGAATAATTAGCTACAGTTTATTCAATTGATTTTTACTTTTTTTTCCATTGAAAAGATGTCAAAGATTGAGTTGACCTTTACATACAGTTTGTATGAGTGACCCAAACTTATTTTTCTTGTAACTTTTTTAAAATTATAGATGTGAATGAATGTGTTGAGATATCAGACGTCTGTGGTCCAAACTCAATCTGCAACAACACTGTTGGGAGTTACAATTGTTCATGCATGAGTGGATATAATGTAACAGACACAAACCTCCCTATAAACAGCAATAACACATGCAAAGGTATGATTGACAGCTATTGCTTATAATACAAATGCATGACAAGGAAAATGAGGAATGAGTGGCATAAAATTCTTTTTTTTTGTTAGTTTGCTTCTGTTTAATACAGTGTCAACAGGAACATTAGTAATTTCTGCTTAAAATGTAAATGTTTTATTATGGAGGTTTGTTGTATACAGTTGCACTAAGATCTCAAAATCTTGGTTTTCTGGTCTTTTGCATTTAAAAATGTTGATCTTTCTCAGTTCCAATTTGTTGTTCCTATTCATTCCAATGATGTTGCTATTGATGACGCATGGATTGATCCAACCTTTTATGTATGCATTTTTTCACTCACTTTCCTGGCAAGCGTAACTGACACACTGCAAGCAGATAGAATTTATATCTAATTTCCACTCGCCTTCAGCAGAAATGGACTCCCACGTTCTTTTGAACCTTCGCATTACATTTGTGACAAATAAGACGCCTGTGCCATTCTGTGATGGCATCAAAACCAGATTTTCAAAATCAAAAGTACAAAAGTGAAGCAAGCATGCAAAGTTACTTATTCGTTACAGCTGCCACTCTGATGACAGAAATGCACCATTGTTTGGAAACAAAAAAACACAATTAGAACACAACCCAGTGGGGGATCAGTCGAACATGGGTTCGGACCAGGAAATCGAACCAAGTGTGAAAGCACCCTTATTGGTCAATACAGTGTTCAGTTGTGCTGAAATCCACTATATACTGACAACTGTAAAGTGAAACACCTGTTTATGATATTGTTGCTAAGCACTTGCAACATTCTGTTGTGTCATGCATATCTTACAATGGAAAGATTTCACTTAAATAAACTGGCTTAGGAAAAAACATTTTAATAAAAATGTATACCTTTAATATTTTTATTATCTAAAAACAATAGACACCCTTGGGTTATGCTGTATTTTGAATATAGACAGAGTAGCATGCATGGACTCTCATTTAACTATATATAGTTATAGTGTTAACTATAAGATTGTGGGGGGTTTTTTCTCTCTCTTTTTTAAATAAAGATTTTATAAGATGAAATAATTAATTCTAATAATTAATACATTTTCTTTCTTCTTTTTTCTGCAGTACCACCAACAACAGCTGTAACAATACCTACACTTACAACAACAGGTATGTTCTGTTAAAAAATACTTAAATACCACAAAATGTATTTGATGACAACAAACTTATAAGATGGCCTTTTTACAGTTATTAGAATTATACATTTTGATATAAGTCTCATGTACAGGTACATTCTGTAATCAGTTTTGTGTTTATTGTGTATTCACATGATTTTGGATTTCGTTCTTTGTAAATGAAGTATTCTATTATAAAGATGCCAAAGAATGAGTTACAGCTAATGCTTATAGGACCAAATCATGACAAAGAAAAGGTAGAGTGAGAGGCTTATAGTTTGTTTTGTTAGTTTGTTTTTTCTTTTGGTTAATTCAGTGTCAACAGTAACATTACCAATATATGTGTATTCAAAAACAAAATATGAGGGGTTGCTAAAAGATGTAAATGTTAGTATTAAATTGATTAAGGTCTGTTGCTTAAAGAGATCATATTTATTCAGAGTTCCATATTTTCCCATTAATGGTTTTTCATTTCAGTTCATGTGTTTTATCATGAAGAAGCTTTGCAAGTGTTTTTTTTATTTGCAGCCAAATAAACAATTAACATTCAGTGCTATTATTAAGAAAAAATGACCAATGATCAGTAGCAATTAAAAACGGGTTAGGATATGTCCTCCTTTTTGAACATCTTTGCATTGATCTTGCAGTTTAATTAAGTTAATACACATAAGCTTCAGACGGACTTACCTGAAACTCTGGGCTTTGCCCAAACATCATTAACTTATTTATATTTGTTGCAAAATATGTGCACCTTTAACTGCAAAAATTTTCAAGTTTATTTTGTTTAGTGTTTGACTGTTGGTGTCATCTTTTTAAGAAATAAATTGCATTTTGCAATGACAAATATTGCATTGTACAATTCTAAAACTTTTTAGACAAACATTTGGTTCTTTTTTTTCTGCGGTACCACCAATAACAGCTGTAACAACACCTACAGCTACAAAAGTTCCCTTTCAGTCGGTCACTCTCGACGTCACGTCGGAGGACCGACGAATTGGGATCTCGCTTAGAGGGACCAATCTACTTTGAGTGTAAACTAAACGAGCCAATGCACATTGGCATGCGATTATTACATCCAGCTGCTGCTGATCACAGCGTGAGTATAAGTAGGCAGCAGGTGCAGCGCATATTCAGCTTTTTGCTTCGGAGCCGAGCGGTTCTATCGTTCTGCTCCTGACCTTCTGCAGTAGGTGGTTTTCCCGTGTCGAGTGGGTTGCACACAACAGGCTGCACTACCCCTGTGTGTGTTGCAGACGGCCATCTCCCCTGTGCGCTTCAGCACATTAAAAGATCAATTTCCATTCTAAAAGAGCTTCACGGGTGGAACGTCTTTTTAAAGACGTGTCTTTTTAAAGATGTCATACCATCCGTGCGTTTCTGGGTGCGGTCGTTACCTGGCGCCGGGTGATGGTCACGATCGCTGCCTCTCGTGCCTGGGCATGAAGCACACTGAGGTGGCTTTCGTGGATGACTCATGCCCCCATTGCGGGGGCATGACCATCTCGGAGTTGCGGACCAGACTCCGTTACCTGCAGGGGGGCGGAGTGCCCGTGCCACTGCCTAAATCTGGGGTTCCCTCTGGCAGCAGCCGGGGGCGTCCTTTTTCTAGCAGTGGGTGGACTGGTCTTACGGTCACGGTGAGGAATTCCCCTCCGGGGATGCCCGAACCCGCCGGCACTTCGAAACCAGCGGAGCTTTCAGTAGAGCAGGCTGGACCCTTCCGGGGGGTACCACTTGTTTCTTCTGAGGCTCCCCCCGACGATCGGATGTCGATTGCAGCATCAGAGGGGGAGCCGGACTCTTCCGGTGATGAAGATCCGTCAGCGTGCCGGAGACGGACCCGGAAATGATGGCTATGCTTTCCCGGGCCGCCGAGAGTGTCGGGCTCCAGGGGAATCTTCCACCGCGTCCCGAACCCTCAAGGTTGGACGATTGGTTTCTCGGGGTGGCGTGCGCTGGTTCTCAGGGCCCCACTCCAGTGCCTTTCTTCCCAGAGGTGCATGATGAGATCGCTGGGTCATGGACGGCACCTTTTACTGCCAGAAACCGGCCCAGTGGCTCATCCTCCCTCACCACCCTCGATGGGGGTCCAGCGCGGGGGTA